CTTTTTCCCCCCCCCCCCCCCCCCCCCATCACTTTGTAGTTGAAATCAGGACAATTCCATCCTCTTCCACTGAAATCAGGACATCTGTATCGTCATTCTTCCTCTTTTATGGACACACTGTATGACACTGGACAAGCCATTAATGGCTATTGTCCATGCCTATTTTTGCATTTCTTTATATTGAGTGAGAAATGTATAACAGATATTCAGAACTGCAGCCTGCTGGCGAATAGCTCTATAACTTGTTTTCTGTAACTCAGTTTCCTAACTTGCTTTTAGAAAAGTGTTGTTTTCTTTAAATTTGGGAAAAGACTTTGGGATCTGCTGTAGAAAATGCTATCTAAATGCAAATTTTTAGGATTTTTGAGGAGAATGGAATATGAAAATCAGGTAGGTCTCATAATACGTGCTTAAACAGTTTTATTTTACACATCTTGCCTTTTTTAGACATCTGTTGGTGAATCCCAGAGACCGCCGTGTTGTGATCATAGAATCTGTCTTGTGCCCTTCACACTTCAGAGACACACTCACAAGAGTCCTTTTCAAGCATTTTGAGGTACGTGTTTTACATAACTATTGTATGTGCTCAGCGTAGCACTTGCCGGAAGAAGTTTTACTTACAATCACTACCAGAGGTGGACGAAGAAATGAAAATAATGCCAAAAGAATGAGAGAGGCAGAAAGAAGATGAAAAAAAGCTGATGGTCGTCTGGGGAAGTAGGGCTTGGAGATGGGACTAAAGGCCATTTTTGTTCCGTTCTGACTCTTTGTGAGGCCACAAAACAGGAGCTATTAACAGGAATCCGAAAGATTTCTCTGGCTTGTACGAAAGTACAGCTCACATCACACTGTTCCAGGCAGATCCAATAATCCCCATTGAGCACTGCCTGAAGCCAGAATTTATATTTAAACACTTGTTAGTGCTTTGTCAGCAAATCTCATGACTTCTACCAGAGTCAATATCTTTGCCTAGCACGTGATCTAACCTCTGGCTGTACCCATTTAGAAAAGAGCTTACCTGAAATTTATTATCTTCTCTGCTTAGTCAGTCTTTCTGAAGAAAAGCCTGAACCTAATTCTTGCTTAGTTCTAACGGAAAGTGTTTTGGAAGGTGAATCCATGCTTCTTCAATTCAGATAAAGCAAAGGTTAAGGTTCTATAAAAAGTGGTGAAACTAGTTTGTCTGCAGTACTTCTTCACTGTGCTTCCACCACACAGTTTAGCAACTAATCTTAAACTTCTGCAATATTCTTTCCTACTATTGATAAAATTTTCTGATGACTTGAAATTGCTGAAAGATTTGAGTGATTTGGGTTTTTTTTTTCCTAATCCCCTTACAGGAAAAAACGTCTCAGACAAAGCACCCCCATGCAAAATTGGTTGTCAAAAATGACTCGTGACTTGAAAAGTCCTATTTTGATGGAGAAACTTTGTAACTTGTTAAGAAGCCAGCTAATACTGATGTGAGGTTAATTCTCTCTGGCTAGTATTTCCATTTGGTGCAAAGAATGAGAGTGGCATATTAATACGGGGTCAATATTATAACTTGTGTCTCTGGGCTAAGTATCAGTAACGTTGCCCTTAAATGCAGGATTTCTTGAAATTGCTCATTTAATTCACACTTCGAGGTGTTCCATTAAAGGAACTGTCGCTATCTAGGAAACTTGATTTATGGAATTTTGGGAGAAGGAAGTAATTCTCGTGTAATTTTAACTTGAGTTTCCACATTGCTTTGGGGAGAGTGTTTTAAATAGCCTCTGCCGTGAGGTTGTGTGCAACAGTGTGTTGTCATAAGGCACACTTTTATGGGTTTCCTGGCACCTTTGTTCACATCTTCAGGTCTTTATACAGCATTTCAAGTAGCTGTGGTTTAGTTTCTTTCATTTCTTTTCAATGACAATAAGAAACCTGATCTACGACTTAAGATGAGTTCTATGGTTAATACTTACTTTTCTTACAAGCCCATTCCAAGATTTGTTATTACTGAAGTCACTGTTGTGTACCACAAATAAGATGAACATAGAATTTAGAATCCTGTTGTATTTTGTTCATTACTACACTACCTTAAAAACTAAATCAAAAATGGGTACCTCAGGGTACAGTTATTTGGGTTTTGCTTTGAATATGACATACGGGGAAAGCATCAGCGCTTTGGGTGGTTTGTTTCCTCCCCCCCCTCC